TCTAAATTGTTTGTTTGTTTTTTAACCAATATGGCCATTGTCCTCAATTGTGGCTTTTTGGGCATCTAAAAGTCGTCTTGAACAATTCCCAGGGATCAGTAACAGTTTTCTGATTAAATTCTTCCTCCCAGCAGATCTGGCTCATAATTCTTTTCAGCATTGTGAAATGGTCCCTTTTAAAGCACCCAGTGTCTCGACGTATATATAATATTACTGCTCTGGACTTTATTCTGTTTGCACATCACAAGTGTGATCAGGTCATGACCACTTGTACTTAGGCTACCGGTAATTTTCAGCTCGGTGAGCAGCTCCCTTTCAGCCATCAAGACAAGGGCTGATAAAGAATGCAGGAGGCTCTTTGGGAAGAAGAGTAAAATCCGTACAGGCACAGGTGGCCGGAATTGTAACCGCAACAGAGTGCTACGTTCAAAAGAGGTCTCATCAGGTCGGGGTCAGGGTCTGGGGCATGAGCGGCAGGGGTAGGGGCCGGGAACCGTGGGGTCTAGTCTTGACTGTGCACTGCCTTGCTCTGTGGACATGGGCAAGTCGCTTGAACCCTCTAACTGGGTACAAATGCTCATCTCACAGAGCTTCATCGTAGTTAAGGCCAGCAGGGACCATGTGATCTCTCAGGCCAGAGAATTTCACTCGGTTAGCTCTTTACTGAGCTCAATAACCTGTGATGGCTTCTGCTCTGTTCATTGCTAGCCATGCCGTACTCGATGCATGCGTCTTAATGGAAAACAAGATCAAAATCTTTATCATTGTACTCTCTCCCCTTCTTGGCTAATGAACTAAGCTCCAGAACTTCTCTATTTACAGACATCATGGACCCAGCCTTGGGGGGCGGGGGCTTGAATTGGCATAGTCCACTGCTGTCCATCCGTCCGTACTCACTTACAATAGTCTTGGGAGTATCTCTCTGTGCACTAACCAGCTAAATGATCCTGGTGGAAGTGACTGCTGCAGGGGCAGTGTGATAGAAAGGGCATGAGCCCACCTGGGCTAAAGACAGCCAGAACTGGGGTAACAAAATAGCCGGGGGAGCCCAGGGCCGTGCGTCTACAGTGGGGCTTTGAACCACAGCTGCTCCGTGGCACCAGAACCAAACACCCCAGCGGAGCTACTGTGCTTGTTCACACCCTGGAGCCTGTGCAAATAAGCTGGGCTTATCTGCTCCCAGGGCTTTGCAGCATCACAAGGCCAGTGCTGCTTTGGTGCATGGCATCTCCTCCGTTAGCAAATCTGGTGCATGGCCTTCTAGTTTTCAGGCCAATAGCTCCTGAAGTGAGCACAAGCAGACACTGGAAATGACCTCCCTCTGTGTTGGATTAGAGAATGAAATCGCTAATGTGAACATTAGAACCACTGCCAGGCTTCAAAGTCAGTGTTGCATTCAGATAAAAGAGGATTGTTCACACCTGAGCTATTGCTCCAAGATCTCTCCAGCTGCTGGTCTAGGCATGATACTTTATCGACGGCGTTGCTGTGGGGCTGTAATGCTGTAGCCATCGGGAGTGGAGCTAGGGGTAGAGCAAGGGCAAAAGGCAGGCCCTGAGTACCTAGTGAATTGCCCAGGGGCAGTCGTGACCCGGTTTTATTGCACTTTTCCAGAGGAGTGTCTGCCAGAGTTACCAGCTTAACAAGCTAGAATGCAAGCTCCTGTCTTACCTAGCCCTGGAATGCAGTCACCATGGGACCAGGTCCAGAGCTCACTGCGACCGGGCTATCCATTATTAGTCATGTTCATTAAGGTAGCGCCTAGGCCGCAATCAAAAACACGGCCCCTTGTGCTGGCGCTGCACAATCACAGAGTAGGAGATGGCTCCTGCCCCAGAGAGACCAGACCACCAGGGTAGGGGAGAGAGATGGAACAGACAAGGAATGACAGGAACATATGAGATGAGCTGATTTGACATTTGGCCAGGACACCAGGGTTTGCATCCTTACTCTCCCCATTCGTCCCAGGGGATGTTAATTATTATGGGATGTCAGGCCCTTTGGCTTTGTCTCAGTTGGGAGGGGGTGTCTCCTTCTGCCCGGTGGCTCTGTGGTACCATGACGGGCCTTTGGGTTCAGTACTGAGACGGGGAGATGCACGCGAGACGGGGAGCCTGCCTTTCGGTTTACAATGTAATTTCATGGCATGCTCTATTTCCCCTGGGACGGCACGCTGGAGCCGGCTGATCTATATTGCATGAGCATGAACAAAAACCATCAGGGCATTATCTGATACAGTGACTGTGCTCCCATGAGCTGCTAGCCTGCATTTCATCTCACCTTGCCTCTCCTGCTAGGCTGATCTCCTATGCAAGCCCTGCCCGGAGGGAGCGGCCAGTCAATTTGTTGAGTGCCAAGCGTCTGCTGCTCCTGTAGGTTCAACGACTAGTTCTGCTTGTTGCGTGGGCGGGCCCAGCTCCCCCCAGGACTGAGTGTTGCAGGGGGCAGCTGCTAGCCAGCTGGAAGTGCTTAGGAGTGAGCTGGATTTAGAGTTGTGGTGGCCATGTGGCCCAGTGGGTAGGGAGTCCTGGGTTCTATCCTTACTCTGCCCCTGACCTGAAGGAAAATTCATGATGAAAATGGCCAAAATCCTCCAACCATAGTTTAAAATAAGCCTGAAGTGCCAGGCCCTGGGAGAGCCCAATGTCTCCCTCCCATCCCAGGAACACGTGGGCCCTGAAGCTTGCACCGTGGTTTTCTTTCTCAAGGATTTAAGCCCCTGCTGTTACTCTCTGCTCCTTTGCGGTGCTGAGCAGCTGCCTGGGGGTTCTCAGGGACGTTTGCCCAGCTACGTCGTAGCGTTTCAGAAATGAGTGAGTGATGCTTTCTGCTGGGCGGAGGATACAGGCTAGTCACCTGCGGGCCCTGAACCACAGCACCAGGGACCAGCTGTCCGGCAATAAACTGGAGATGAGACAGTGGCTGAGTTTCGATTGTAGAGCGTAAACCCCTCGGGGCAGGGCCTGGCTTTCTGTTCTATGTTGGTTCAGCGCCTAATGCCTATGGGTCCTGATTCACACCTGGAGCACCTAGGTGATACTGCAGTAGGGATAATAATGATACCAGTGACGTTACGCCGGATATTGTGTATTATGCTGGCGCCTACGCGCCCAAGCTGAGATCAGGACTTTGTTGGGCCAGGCGCTGCGTGTCACAGAATGACAGACCGTCCCTGCCCCAAAGAACGTCCAATCTAAATAGACCAGACATACTACGGAGTAGGAGGAGAAGCGAAGGCACAGAGAGAGGATGTCGATGGCTCAGCTGTTCAGCTTGGTTCTAACCTGCTTCTCCGGGGACCTGCTCACCTGTGAGTTCAGAACTCCGCTCCCCCAGAGGGGAAGTGCTGGAGACGGACGGCTTGGGAGCCATGCAGCCTAAGAAGGTTCATCTTCATTGCACCCATGAGTGCCATGCCAGCTAGCTGCAGCCCTAGCTTAGAGCCCCACTTAACTCAAGCTAGAGATTTGTGCATGTGGGGACAGGAGGCAGGTTAGGGGCAACGTAAGCGTTATAGCGTGAGCTAATAGCCCAGGGAAGACGAACCCCGAGTACTTCTCCAGTCCTGGGCGCTGCAGTGTCTCAGCACCTTGCAGTCGTAAATCAATTTTCATCCTGGGGCTGATAGCGGCATAATAGGGGAGGAACTGAGATGCCGAGAAGGGGCTTGCCCCAGGGTGTCTGCAGCTGAGCTGGGAATTCATCTCAGGTCCCTGGGGCAGGGTCCTAACCACTGGACCATCCTTCCCCTCTATGAGCCATTTGTGGTTCGAGAACCAGCATTACCCCAACAGAAGCAGCACTCCTCCAGCAGCAGGGACTCACCAGCAAAGGGTTTGGTTTATTCACGTTCTGCTACAGCCCTCGAGGTAGCTGGGCCCTTCAATATTTCAGGGGTGCTGATCTGCAGTGCCCCCAAAGCCAGCACCTTCCTCTTCACTTCCTATCCCCCTCTTGGTTTGGCCTTTCCCCCAGCCTGCTTCCAACCTCACCCCAACAGCTGCTGTGGTTCAAAGGTGGGATACAAGGTGGGGACAAAGGCCCAAGGGGTGGGAGATGAGGAAACCACTGTAGGGAGCTCTAAGTGATGCAGGAGGTATCTGGTATCGGCAACACCCTCTAGATCACTGTACTTTGCCCTCCTTGAGCACTTCTCAGCTAGGGCTCTTAGAGTGCTTGGTAAACGTTCACTGCTGCGGAGGGTTGCCAACACTCACTGTATTTGGTGTTTTCATTAAAGCCCCCACTCCATGAGTCATGTGATTATGTGAGAGCCTCAGCTTTCTAGCTGTTGGGGTCATACAGAAAAGCTTGAAACTGTGACCTGACTGTGACCCCGAATGCTCGGAGCCCAGAAGACAAATGAAAATGTTATTAAAAAAAACCCTCCTAATTTTTAAGGCAGTCTCTCAATTGTTCGAGGCCTGATAATTTTTTTAAGTGCTTTCGCCTGGCAATATGGGGAGGTTAATGACTTGCCCAAGCTGGCAGAGCGAGCCAGCAGTCAAGCTACAAATAGAACCCAGGAGTCCTGACCCCCTAGTCCCTTGCTCTAACCAGTAGCCCACACTCCCTGCCTGGAGCCCTGATTCCCAGCTCTCCTATTTAACTGCTAGATCACTGGCCTGAGCTGGGAATAGACTGGGGACTCCTGACCCCCTCCCCAGCTCTCACCCCTAGACCATCATCCCTCCCCAGAGCTGGGGATAGAACCCAGGAGTCCGGGCTCCCAGTCCCCTGCTCCGCCCCTTGCCTCGCGGCTTTGGCCCGATCCGCGGCCAATGCGATGACATTAAAATGCGGCTGGCGGAGGGGAGGGGGAACGGGGGGGGCAGCGCCCAGAAAAGGGCCCGGGCTCCTTTAAGGCTGCGGCAGGTTTCAGCCTCTTCCCGGGACCCAGCGGGTCAGTTTCCCCAGGCGAGGGGGGACCCACGGCTGAGCGGTGCCGCCCCCCACATGAAGGAAGCGGGTCCCCCCCCGCACCTTAGAAGGGGTCACGAGCGAGCCCCGCCCCGCCGCTGCATCCTCCCACCTGGGGCTGCCTCCTGCCCCGCCTGGGAGGTGAGTTTCTTCCACGCCGGCTCCCCACGCAGGGCCCCCGCCCCGGGACCGGGACCCCGCCCCTGCCGCGGGGCTGAGCAGCGGCGGAGACCCAGGAACCCGGGGGCTGAGCCGGGCACCTTCCCCGCCATGGACTGAGCGCCCTGCCTTCTCCGCCGGGGCTGGGACTCGCCCCTTGCTCCCCCTTCCCTGCTGGGGGGTTCACCCCCCCCCCACACACGTCTCCTCCCCGCTGGGTTTGTGTTTATGGGGCACGAAGAGACTTGACAATGTTATCGGGCTCCAAAAACTCACTTACAATCCAGCAGGACGCGCAGGGCCCTCCGGTAAGTGGAAAGCCAAGGGGGGGGGGTGTTGAAATGCGGGGGGGGTCCTGCAACAATGTGCATGATGCGGGTGCTGAGCGCCACTGAACCAAACTGGAAAAACCCTCCAGGCTGGAAGGAAAAACCCCTTCGAGCCGAGGGGTGCTGGTGCCCCCCCTTCCAGCACCTACGGGGGGGGGAAATAAGTTTATAGGCTGAGTCTCCGGGGCTGGCTTCCTCACCCTGCCTGGGTCGTGGGGACTGTGTGGGGGGGTCTCCAGCCAGGGTGCTGGCTGTTGGAAGCAAAAGTGATGTTTGGGGGGGGCATGGCATTGTTTGTCTCCCCCCTTTTTTTGTTGTGTAGCCTGGGTGTTAAAATTGCAGTGGGGGGCTGGACGGGTGCGCGGCTCTGTCAAGCCCCCGGGGCTGCGGGGGAAGGGGGGTTCGTGCTCCTGGCCCACAGCAGCCCAGCTCCGGGTTTTCCAGCCAGCAGCCCCCGCTCCCCATGCGCCTGGCTGGCCGGGCTCGGGTCTTTCCGACGCCAAACGCCGCCGTTGGCCAGCGAGCCCGGAGCTCGGCAGCGGTAATTGGGAGCAGGGCTGTTTGCACGGTACGTTCTGTCCTGCGCTTCGGAGCCTGGGCAGGGCCCCCCCCGCGCCTTCTTTCTGGGACCCGGTTTTGCGCTGTCCACTGGGGCTGGTAACCAGGCGACTGGTTGTTGTCCAAGGGGCTTTGTCCTTGCTCTTGCAAACGGGGTGACCCCCCCCCCCCCCCAAACCTCCAGCACGCCCGGAGTTTGCGCAGGGCTTCCCTGGGGCTGGAGCGGGTCAGCGGGCTGAGGGTTTCTTTGCAGGGAAAGCTGGCTGGCCTTGGCTGCGCGGCTCTCTGCATTCCTTGCAGAATGAGACGATTGTTTTCCACCGCCGAGCAGAAATATGCTACGCAGGGGCCAAGCGCGCCCTGGCAGTAGAGACAGCGAGTCTTTAAAGACTCAGACAAGCCTCGTTTGTTGTTACATGGAGCCTAGGAGCCCTGGCCCAGGACCCTCTTCCGTGCTAGGCGCTGGACATACACTGGCCACACAGACAGCCCCTGCCCTGCCCCAAAGAGGTGACCATCTAAGTAGAAGGCAGGCGACCGCAGGTGGAGAGACACACATGGGGGAGCAGGGGGAAATAATGAGACCATAAGGAGGGGTGATCATTGCTATGATTTCAAGGGTGGAGAAAATCGCTTTCTAAAGCGGGGCCCTGATCTTGGTTAGAACATTTCTGTGCAAACAGCTGGGTAAAATCACGGAGATTAGAGAGGTTTCAGAGTAGCAGCTGTGTTAGTCTGTATTCGCAAAAAGAAAACGAGGATTTGTGGCACCTTAGAAATGAACAAATTTATTTGAGCATAAGCTTTTGTGAGCTACAGCTCGCTTCATCGGATGCATTAGATTAGAGAGGCCAGTGTGGGGGCAGAGTGGCTTAGTAGGTAATGCTCTGGACTGAGCTAGGGAGTATGAACTCTGTACTGGTACCTGTCAGTTAGGACAAGACTGTTCCCTGTCTCAATAAAGCTCTAGGATCTATCATCACGGTACTGAGCAGCACATCATGGTCTTTAGTGGATTTATCCTCACAGCCCCCTGTAAGGCAGGACGGTTATCCCAATGGGGAAATTGAGGCACAGAGAGGCCAAGTGACTTGCCCAAGTCTGTGGCACTGTAGGAAATTGAACCCTAGGAGCTAAACTTCCTAACCACGGGGCCCTGCTTCCTCCCACCTGTTGCTCAGTGCTCTAAATAAGTCTTTTGCCACTCCTCTTTAGACTCTCTTCCATTAGCCCTCCTGGTTACGAAATTTAGCAGTTTGCTGCCAGCTGATCTCCCCACGCCAGGGAAAACCTCTCATGGAATGAATATCTTGCTGACCCCTAACATTTTGGTCCGTGCTTGGGGGATGTCTTACCCTGTTGTCATGGCATAGCTGGGGGCTGGCGGGGCACTGAGCCTCCCATATGCTTGGTGGTGTCACTAACCAGCTGCTCTTACACACAGTTTTTGTAGCATTTTATGTAAAATCTGCCATGCTGGGTCAGGCCAAGGGTCCATCTAGCCCAGTGTCTTCCCTCACCATCTTGGCTAATAGCTATTGCCGGACCTAGCCTCCATGAACTTATCTAATTCTTAACTTTAACCAGAGCTCTTTGCAATGGCTATAAATAATGCAGTGCAATCCCTAGTAAGGACGCAGTTATTCTATAAAGGTGTCTCTGTAAATGTAGCCGAATAAGCTATGCTGGTATAAAACACCTTTACTATTGTAGTCTACATAATAACATGCAGGCTGCAGCACTGGAGAAATGCAGCCACGTCAGGGGCGGAGGTTGGTAGTCGCCACACAACAGCGAAGGGGGAGGGTGGGATCTGGTCCAAGGACACTGAAATAATGTTGTTAAAAAGTCAGATTTAAAAAAAAAACCAAAGCAGGAGAGAGCTTTAACTTTTGGGATCTCAGCCTCTGGTGTCATTAAACAATTATTGCCTGACACCCCCCCCCCCCCCCCCACACACACACATTGTCTGAGCCACGTCATTTTGCACACCTGTAAAAAAATTACTTTAAAAAACTGAATTATGCAAAGAGGTTCTGGGAACAAGCTGCATGTCCCCATTCCGTGTATGGGGCTGCAGGCACTAATAGAGCGGGATGCAGCAGATCTGTCTGCCTCAGGCTGGTTCCTAGCAGCCAGGTGGCCAGGCCATGAAAATGCCAGTTGGCACTTACTGGCTCCTCTTTCTGGCAGCCTCAGAAGTGAGGTCAGACAAGATGATCACAATGGGCCCATCTGGCTTTGCAAGCTACCAATGGGCCATGGAGATGAAACTCCCCTCTCTGCTCTACCGGGGATCTTTCCAGGATAGGGCTGAGTTGGGTGGGAGTGTGTCTGTGTGCCCACCAAACTTCGTCTGAGATTGCTAAGGTCCCAGGGGCCGTCTGTCTTGTCCCTTTCACCAGCTCTAAGATCCCTGGGACTGAGAGTGGTAAACGTTTCTCGTTTATACATTTGCAGTGACTTTGACTTGCAGTGTTCTGGGCCCTTAAGGTTGTTTACAGCTGCAAGGAGGTTTCCGGCTCACTATCTGATCAGGCAGAGGAAGGTATGCTGTGGCAATTCCACTTTGTTTGCTCTCTCTGCTTAACAAAAATGCCAGATAACCTTTGGTTGTGGTTTAGGTTTCAGGCAGTTATGTTCCGGCTAATCTTTCCTCTGTGTAGCTGTTCCCTGGTAGCGTGGCACTCAGATCTTACCCTGCGCTCTCAACTGGCATTAGCCCCCTCCCCTTAGTTGACCCTAGTAGTCAGGAGACTTTGGCTTGCCCAAGAGTTGGGGAGTAGCCAAGCCAGCATAGCCATGTGGCTAGCTGAGAATCATAGATTTCAGAAGGGACGGACCACTGTAACCATCTAATCTGGCCTCCTGTAACACCGGCCAGAGTACTTGCCCAGAAGAATTCCTCAGCCAGATCTTTTAGGGGAAAACCCTCCCACCCTGATTTTAAAATGGTCAGTGATGGTGCCAGGGCTCCTGGGTTCTATTCCCAGCTCTGTGAGAGAAGTGTGGTTTAATAGGGTCTGTGGATCTATTCCTAGCTCTGCCATTAAGCTGTTGTGTGACTTTGGGCAAAATCATTTAAAACTCATTGTGTTTCCCCATTGGTAAACTGAACTGGAAAGGCAAAGTGATGTACCCAAGGCCCCAGAAGGGAGTCAGGGTTGGAGATGGGATTAGTACCCAGGAATCCTGGGTCCTAGTCCTGTGCTCACGCCAGCCCTCCCCCCCTCCCCCAAAAGCATCAGATTTTCAAAATATTATTGCCTGGGCCCATCTAAACAACCACCACCACTAAACAGCCACTCATGATCTGGGGCACAGGGAGGGGAAGTGACTTGCCCAAGGTCACCCAACAGGCTAGTGGCCAAGCAGGAAATAGACCCCCAGCTCTCCTGGGCCCCAGTCCACTGTACTATCCACTAGACCACACTATCTCTCATGCATGCCATCACCATCCTGCCGTATTATTGTAAATGGAAGGGGGCTGAGTTTCCAGGTAAGAGCCATTGCTGTAGACCCCAGTGTGGCTAATCCCAAGCATTCCCCAAAAAACCCCACAAGCCCTGTCCCAAAATAATCATGAGATTGGCTTAGAAATCAGAAGATTTTAAATGTTTGGTTCCTTGTTTGTTTTCAAACTCTTTAGAGGTTGTGTTTTGTAGCTTTTTTTCTCGCAACCACAAGGCCAGGAAACTTCCTTTCCTTCAAGAAATAAAAGCCGAGATGCCCAAGACTCCAGGAGTTAGGGCTTTAAGAAGTGTACCCCATAGAATCCCGGAGGCTGGCCACTCAGATCCTTGTGACTGGCTGAGCCTCCTGCTGTGGGAGGGGATGGGGTCAGAAGTCAGGACTGCGAAGGGGAAGAAATAATTAACTAGCGGATCGGGTTAAATATTACTTGCCTTGCAGCGCCCTAGTTAGGGCCCCATTATATGGACATAGGCTAAAGAGACAGCCTCTGCCCCAGAGACCGTGAAAGTTGCCGTCTGGTTCTCCAATGTCTGTGCATTAGCCCACAGTGAGGAAAGGGTTAAATCCAGCTAACAGCGACCTGTTCTCTTTCTTTACAGCTGAGAGGTCCAAAGTCCTCTGACATGAACGGCCAGAGAAACAGAAACTGCCAGGCTTTCCCGTGTATCCCAGGTATCCCCGCTGGCTACGGGGGAGTGGGTGGCTCGTGTTTTGACCCCCCGGTTGGGTTTCCTTGGGGCTTTCATTATGGTTCTAATAATAATCCCTAGCTCTAATCTAGCACTTTCCAGCTGCAGATCTCAAAGTGCATCACAAAGGAGCTAAGTATCACAATCCCCATTTGACAGGTGGGGAAACTGAGGCACAGAGCAGGGCAGCAACTTGCACCAGGTCACACAGCAGAGGTGTCCTGAGTCGTATCTCGGTGAGTAGCCATTAGACCACACTGCTGCCGAGCACTGGATGGGACCAGCAGCCGTGGTGTCTCTTCCCTGTTCCTTAGCTGCACAGAGGAGGACACAGCTGGGCTCCCCACTCGCCTGTGCATGTGACATGCTGGTGACCTGTGAGCGCCCGGGGTGGGGGGGGGACTGTGATGAGGTGTCTCTTCTCCACCCCCACCACCCCCCCCCAAGGCTCAGAATGACAGAAATGTCGGGCTGGAAGGGCCCGTGACAAGCCCCCTGCGCTGTGGCAGGACCAAGTGAACCTAGACCAGAGCAGATGAGACCTGAAGTCCAGGCCTACAGACTCTAGCCACACGCAGCTCACCTGTGCCTGGCAGGCGGAGGAGCCCTTCCTTCCCTGGCCACAGCCACTTCACATCTGCTGTCGGCCCAGGCTCCCCCGGGGGGGGCGGGGCAGAGGGGGCGTGCCAGGACACCTGGGTTCCCTCCCTGGCTCTGAGAGGGAGGCAGGACTCCTGGAGTATAATGATTGGAGAGTAGAGAAGAAGGATGGTCCAGGGGCTTGGACACTAACCAAGAACTGGGTTCAAATCACTGCTGTGCCGCAGATGTCCTGTATGACTTTGGGCAAAGCCTTTGGTCTCCCTGTGCCTCAGTTTCCCACCTGGACAGTCGGGATAACAGCACTGCCCTGCCTCCTGGGGGGTGTGCGTGAGGGCTAATATATTGAAGGATGAGTGCTTGGATACTATGGAGCTTTGGTACTTTTATTAAAATCATTAAGCTGGGCCCAATCCTGATCCCCTTCCTCCTTAAGAGCCTTTCACTTTTGCTCTGTATTAGAGGCATGAAGGGTTAAATCGGGGCTCTGGGCAGCAGCTGTCAGAAGGCATTTCCTGGCTAGGATGACACGCTGCAGGCAGTGGCCGGAGCAGATGCTTTGCTGAATTCGTGACTAGCAAAGAACAACCGCTCCAAAGGCACCTGTTACCCGGGCAGTTCCCTTTCATGCCCAGCATGAGCGGGAGGGCCCCCGTTCCGCGGGCCACGCTGCCTGGGCTGAGGGAACTCAAGCTGGAGCAGGTCCATTGTTTGGCTTTTCTAGCGAGGCTCTTTAGCAGGGGCTGGCTGCCCAGCTGCTCTGTGATGCCCGCACTTGTTGACGTTGAGGGGGAGACGTGCGGTCTGGTGGGTATAGCAGGGGACCGGGCGCTGGGACACCTGGGTTCTGCTCCCAGCTCTGGGATGGGAGTGAGGTCTAGTGGTTAAAGCAGGAAAATGGGAGTCAGGACTCCTGGGCTCTGTTTGTACTAGAGGGTCACACAGGTCACAGCTTCTGCAGACGGAGTTCACTGTGCACACCAGGGGCTGCTTGCGTCCCTTCATTTCCCCTCCTCCCCCAACGCTCCTGGTGTGGACCATCCCATCCCCCCGCTATTCCAGGGACTTGCTGCAACCTCCCGCTGGGGGCTCTGTGCGCCCTCCCCATTCCCCGCCCCATGCCGGGGGCTCTGTGTGCCCCCCCATCCCCACATGCCAGGGGCAGTTGGACTATTGAAAAGGTCAAGAGAAAACAGCCCCCCCTCCGTTGTGAAACCCCCTAGCCGAGGGCCCACTATTCTGAGCACGGCCTCCATTGTTCCCAGTGCAGGTGTTCTGTGGGGCAAACCCCCTTCCCCACAGCTCTGCAGGTACAATTTGCTGCCTGATCGGTGGCCCCAGCCGCTCCAGCTGCAGCCCCCTGAGGATCAGGCCTTCGGACCTAGATCCCGCTGGGGTAAATCCACCTGGTTCCATTGCAGCCCATAGAGCTCCATCAGTTTATGCCAGGGAAGGATCTGGCCCCTCGGTGTGCTTTTCCCTCCTGTGGCATTGCACGCCCCTAACCCAGTCTCTTGCCTGGCTTTGCGTCACTCCCCAGCCAGCCCTGGGCTCCTGCCTTTACCCCCTCCTTTCCGGCGCCCTGGGGAGCCGGTTTCACGAGTCATTCCAAACCACAGCGTTCTCCCAGCTCACCCTGACCTCTTCTCCGCCCTTCAGGGGAACACGTCCTGGAAGAGGCAGCTCGCGTGAGGAAGATCGTCCGCTCCAGGGATGGCCAAGGATCCATCCTGGGCACACTGTACTGCACCAACCTGAGAGTCGCCTTTGTGCCGGAGCCGGCCCCAGGTGACACGGTGGGGGTGAGTTGGAGGAGGCCCGGGCGGGAGCCGGGACGGTGCCGCCGGCGGCCCGGGGCAATGCGGGCGCCCGGGCGGGAGCCTCGTAGCCCTCAGCCACCTGAATTGCAGCCCTGATGCTCTCTAGTGGACATCATCCTCCTGGCCTGTCGGAGCCCCCTGGCTGTGGTGTGGGGGTGGGCCCCCTGTGCCAGGTTCTGCGAGTGGGGTCGGGGTGTGGGGATGTTTCTTCCCCATGCCGCAGGAGGGGGAATGGGCCTGATCTCTAAGGGCTGCTCCTTTCCCACCGTAGGCCCCTCGCTGTTCCACTTGCCTGCACAGTGAGCACGACGTGGCCCTGCCCTGCATCGGGAGGCTGGTGGCAGGTAAAGGGGGGCAGGAGAGGCCGCCATTACATTCACCCCATCAAGCCGCATCTCCTCCACCGCTGTGATGAGTTTGGCGTCTCTCAGCCTGTGCGGCTCACTGCCTCCATCCCAGCATCCATCCCCGTGGCTGGCGCTGTGATCCCCTCATGGGCTGTCCCGGTGGCAGAGAGGCCGAGGCCAAGGCTAGGCCATGGCGACCCAACTGCCCCCTTACCCACAGGCAGGGCTGGGGCCATGGCACCTTGGCGGGGGGGTGGTGGCACTGGAAAACTTGCCCTTGCCGTAGTTGGCAGGGCCATACTCGGAGCGAGCCGTGGTCCCTCCGTGTGCTCTCCCCCGGGCTTCCCTGATCGGCTGCTGCCAGCTACCCCCCACACCAGGCGCGATCTCCATGCAGCTGGCTTGGGGGCCTATCCTGCCCCAGTCCCCCCCCATGCTGGAGGTCGAGCCTTCCCAGCTGCCCCAAGACTCTGGTTGCTGCCTGGCCTCCTGGGTCCAAGCCCCCCTCCTCTGCCTGGCTTCCTCTGCAGTGAACAGCTTCACCAAGGCCAAGGTGCTGACGGCCAGCTCCACCCTCAAGTTCATCCCAGAGGAGCTGGTGCTCTACTGCCGGGACTTCCGGGTGCTGCGTTTTGGCTTCCGCGACAGCAGCTTGGAGTACCAGGCCTTTCAGGTGAGCATCTGCCATTGCAGACAGGGGCACCCGCCTCTCCGGCCGGTGATTTCCAGGGCCCAGCGGCTTGGGGCTTCGGGACCCTTGGATACTGATGGGCACCTCCAGTGGACTGGCTCTGAGCTGGACCTGCTTGGGATTTGCGGGCTTGTCACACCAGGGGTTGCTCTGTGTGTCGCCTGGGTGGGAGGATGAGATCCCCAAGTGGGTTGTTTTACCCCTCTTGTGGGGTCTAGTGGATTAACACAGGGGACAAGGAGCCAGGAATCCTGGGTTCAATTCCTAGCTCCAGGAGGTGAGTGGGATGATGTGGTTTGGGGGAAGGCAATGTCCTATTCCGGGCGCTGCTGCTGACTCCGGGCAGGGATGTCCATGCTGCTCAGGGCAGGTAGGCAGACTCATGCCAGCCCCGTCTGAGCTCGCGTGCTAAAGACAGCAGCGAGGGCGTTTGCAGCTGGAGGGCAGCTCAGAGCCGGGGACTGGGCGGGCTTGGACTCAGGCTACTAGCCTGGGCCACAGCATCCGCACTGCTGTTTTCAGCACGCTTACGAGTCTGTCTCCCTGGGCCGGGAGCGGCACCGCCCAGCTGCAGGGCAGATCCAGCCTATGTGACCTGGAGCAAGATGGTTCGGTTTCTTCCCTCTTTCCCGAGGTCCCTTTCCTCAGGAATCTACCTCCCACGGGGCTCAGAGCTGCAGAACCCTGGGCAAGGCAAACCCCACCCTTCCCTTCCTGCCCCCTGTCCAGCGATCCTCTGATGCCCCGAAACACCCAGTGTCCCCAGCTCTTGTCTCTGCCGTAGCTGGGACCCTCCAGCAGCGAAGAGCCTGCTCTTCAGAGGGGCTGAGTGCTTCCAGCTCCCAGTGACTTCACTGAGGGTTGTCAGCTTGGCAGCTTTGAAAACCCGGCCTGTCGCGCCCTGCCCAGGAGAGAAGCCCCGAGCGGCAAAGCTTTGGGGGGGGTGGGGTTCTGCTCCAGCGGGGTTGGCCGGGGTCCCGTCACGACTCTTCTGTTCAGCTGTCTGGCTCAGCGATGGGCCTGCAGCCGCAGGGACTTGCGCGGGCTATTTGTCCTGGGCTACAAACCTCCATGGGTCAGTGTTGCAAGCGCTGCCCTGCTGGGGGGGGCCTTCCTGGATCCCCAGCCTGGCGGCGTACCCTCTGCCCTCCCGTGGGCCCCCAAACCCTGCCCACAGCCCCAGACGCCGCTGTTTTCCAGGTGACGCTGGCCATTGTGCAGGCTCAGGAGAGCAGCAGCAGAAGTGCGGGGATGTGGTACGACGGCACTGCTATCAGGAACCTGGGTAAGTGGCATCTCCGCTTGGCGTGTAGCCCTGCCCCCAGGCCCTGGCAGCTTGAGGGGCCCGTCCCTGGGGTGGCTGGACCCACGAGGCGCTGCCCCACTCGTCCCTGACAGCCATCCCTCCTGTGCGGCTTCAGAGAACGCCTGGCCGAGCACGGAGGAGTCGTCGTCCCCCCCCGACGCTGCTCTTCGAGAGTCCCTGCGACTGGGAGAAGGAGCTGAGGCGGCTCGGGGCTGCTGGCTGGAGGGTCAGCCCGGTCAATGAGCGCTTCGACATGGCCACCAGGTAAAGCGTGGCCCAGCTGCCGGTCCCCCCGCTCCGGCGTAGGGGGGATCGGGGGGTGAGTTAGATCCTCGCCCTAACCCCAGCCCATGGCATGGGAGCATGTTACAGCCAGGAGCGGCGGAAGTGCCCTAAAAGTGTGTGTGTGTGGGGGGGCCGCAGGTGCCTTAAGTGTGTCCCCCACCCATGCCGTCCTGCCCATTTCCCCCGCCCTCATTCTGTCCATTCCCCTCAAAGTCCCGCCCTTGTCCCGCCCCCTCCCTCAAGACCCCGCCCCACGCTCGCTCCTCTCCACCGCTCCCCTGTCACTTGCCTTCACAGCCGGTTAAGAAGTGGGAGGGGCCTGGCCCCTGCCCCCCATTCCGGCTCCCATGGTCACAGCCCCTCCGGGTACCCTCCAGTAATTGGGACTCCCTAAGCTGTGGGAATGCCCTCTGCCGCGAATCTCCCTCAGACCCCCTTTCTACAGTGGGTATGGTGTTCAGCCCTCGGCTACAGTCCCAGGTCCATATTGATGGCCCCCTCCCGGATTGAGCGTAACCTCCATGGGCATGTGGCTTCCTCGAGTGGCTAGGGAAGCACAGTGAAAATGTTCATGATTTCGAACCACGTTTCGATCCCGAAGTGGGTGGTGGTTGGGGGCAAGAAGTCAAAATCTCAAACGTTTCCTTGAACTGGAAAAACTTGTAGCTTCCTTCCGATTTCGACCCTTTTACATTTTTGTTTTACTCTCATTCGCTCAAGTTTCTAAACCAAAAGGGGCTTTGACCCGGAAAACTGGAATTCCTCATCTCGCAAATATCAAAATGAAACGTTTCGACAGCTTTGGGATTTTTCCCTGAATGATTTTGATTCACAAAATGAGCCAAAACTAATCACCTTTGGCGTGGGAAACCTCCGGGTTTCGACAAACTGACGCTTTCTAGGGAAAAATCCTTTGGCTGTCAAATTCCCGAGAGCTGTAGGTGGAAGGCCTGTCTGGGGAGAGCTGGTGGGAGCTCTCTTCTAGCACACGTGGGAGGGATGCTGTGGGCCAGCAGACCCTGAGTTCTCTTCTCTGTCTGTGCATGTTAATGTGGGATGGATCCGGGGGAGTCTTGTGAGTTGTGGGGGTGGCAGGATTTGGGAATGGCCTTGTAACAGGGAGATCTGCCTCCTTTAAGAGCCAGGGGCCATCCAGCCCTGTCTGATTATCAGACCTGGTGGGGATCAGGCAGGTGTTTCCTATCAAGGTCTGAGAGTGCTCAAAGGGGAGCTGTGGGAAGGAGGCAGGTGCCGGAGTAGTGGAGTGGGAGAGGCCTCGAGGGTCCCGCATCCCACTCTGGTTGTAGTGTTTGTGTGCAGCTCCTGAAGAGGCTTGGGGCGAGGCGGGCCGGCAGCCCTCTGCGCTTGCTCTGAGCCGGTTCCCCTCCGACTCCGCTTCCTCCCGCAGCCTCCCCAAGTACCTCTGGGTCCCCAGCAGGCTCCTGGACAACGAGCTCAAGAGGGCCTTTGGCCACTTCAACGCGAGGCGCATCCCGGTGAGTGTCTCCTGCCCCGGGAGCAGGCTGCGAGCTGCCACCTTGGGGAGAGGAGGGCAGTTCCTAACGACCTCCCCTGCCTCACCAGGTTCTGGGGATGGGGCAACCACCGGGGGGTGCCGTGGGAGGGTGGGGCTCTTATTGAGGCAGGGGGGCATTGGGCCAGCAGGGTGGAATAAGGTGTGAGGACCCCACCCCCCACGGTAGGCTGTGTTTCCCTGCGGCCGGTGCCCTGTGAAGCTGGCCTGCCATCAAATGGGGACTACACCGCTCCTAAACCAGCAGGGGAGGGAAGGCTGAGGAGGGAGGGTCTCCACCAGCTGGTTGGGTGGGGGTGTATCCCAGAGCCAGTTAGGGGGAGGCAGGTCCCTGGAGCTGGGGGGAGAGGAGGAAGGCAGGAGACAAGGCCCCAGAGCTCAGGGCCCTGGCGTGTGCTGTGGAGAGCCTGCAGCCAGTGGAGTATCATTTCGTTCTGTTCCCCTGTGTCTCCCCAGAGGCTGTGCTGGCATCACCCGGGAGGCAGCGACCTGCTGAGAGCCGCTGGCTTTCACGCCGACTCAGACCCCGAGAGGGAAGACGTGAGGTACGAGCCTCGAGGACATGGGAATAGGGCTGCGCAGCCCCAGTCTGGGAGCTCGGGGGAGCTAAATAGGGCCAGGCTGGGGGTGGAAGACTCCCCAGGAAAACCCAGCTGCTCTAGGGAGTCAGGGGTGTGTGGCTCAATTGGGGGCACTCTCCCTTACAGTCAGTGCTGGCCCCAGTGTGGCACTAGGGGGCGCTGTGCTGCAGGGAGCTGGGTGGGTGCTGTCCCCTCGTAGCTGGTGCTGACCTCAATGCCCCAGTGTGGCACTAGGGGGCACTGTCCCCTCATAGCCCGTGCTGACCCCAATGCCCCAGTGCAGCACTAGGGGGCGCTGTGCTGTAGGGAGCTGGGTGGGTGCTGTCCCCTCATCGCTGGTGCTGACCCCAGTGCCCTCGCATCATGGTAGGGGCGCTGTGCTGCAGGGCCCCATAGCCCAGACCAAAGCAGTGATTCCACCTCCCCGGTGCGGCTGCGTCTCTCTGCAGGTCCGTGGAAGCGCTGATGCTCGCTGGCCACGCCCAGTGCGTGATAGTGGAGACAGCCGCTGACCTGCCCAGCCCTGCAGAGATCCAGCTCTCTTACCTCAAGCTTCGGGCCCTCTGCCTTCCTGGTGAGACCCGGCCTCGGCCCCGGCACTGAGATCACTTCTCAATAGCAGTCGCTCGCCTGAGCCGACGCCTGCGGAATCCCAGACAGTAACTAACCAGCTCTTCAGCGGGGAGGACCTGGGTTATTCTGGATTGGATCCCACTTGGGAATCAAGGGACCGTTATCACTATTTTGTATCTGATGCACCTGTGCTGGATTTCCAGTTTCTCCTCTCTTGCTCTTGGTGCTTGTCTGGCTCCACCATTGTCAGAGTGTCTCGTGCCGTGGGTTATATCCTCCCAATCCCCCGGCAGGTGGGGAGGTATTATCCCTGCCTTACAGGGGGGAAGTGAGGCCCAGAGAATTACATGATTTGCCTGAGGGAGTCTGTCAGAACCAAGATCTGAGGCCGAGGCCGATACTGTAACCCCGAGGCCGCCTCTCTCCTCCTGGAAGCAGCTGGCTGTTTGACGCAAGGAAGCCAGGGCTCCATAAAACAGGCCTGGCTAAAGCCAGAGCACAGTCCTGCACTGGCTGAGAGACAGGTGGGACTCGAGGGTCTCTTCCTTCCATGTCTCCTTCCTCGTCTTCTCTCCGGGACAATTCCTGACCTGCCACAGAAAAGGCAGCCCAAAGGAAGGATGTTCAAGACTCTAGGCTGGGACTGAGGAGACCTGAGTGCTGTTCCCATCTCGGCCACAGACTGTCTGATCTGGGTCAAGTCACTTTACCTCCTCTGTGCCTCATTTCCTCTGTCTGACCAGGGATAATCATTCGCTCCCTGCCAAGGGGGTGGTGAGGATTAAAACCCAGTAATGATAACCTGGCGCTACGCGGCTGGAGGCTGGATAAACCTCTCCACAGCCAAAGTAGTAATTGGGGTTCTTCGGCGTGGCTTCCTTTCAGACTCCTCTGTGGCCGATGAGAAGTGGCTCTCTGCCCTGGAGGGGACGCGCTGGCTGGACCACATCAGGTGAGAGCCGCCCCATACGCTGACGCCTTAACTCCAGGGGCACAGGCCCTACAGAACATCTGGGTGGGACTGGGTAACCACCATCCCTCTGTTGGGGGCTGCCCCAGTGTGAGGGGTGGAGCTCTCTGGGGGGAGTGACTGGCAGGACCGTGCCTGGCTGGATGAATTTCAGATGGTGCTGGGGGGGTTAGGGGGTCCTTTGCTTCCCATTGGCTGCAGGGTCTTCGTTTTCAGTAGTGACCCCCTCTCCTTGCAGGGCTTGCATGAGGAAAGCGAACGAGGTGGCCGCCCTGCTGGCGGAGAGGTCCCGCTCCGTCATCCTGCAAGGTAGAGTATGTCGCTCCCTCCTCCGGCCCAAGCACAGGCTGGCCGCCCTGAGGCAGGGCCAGGGGTGGGGTGAGCCCGGCAGGGGAATAAGCAGCTGCAGTGAGCTCCTCGGTACAGGCTCTGTGACGCTTCCCAGATCTGTGAGGCACCTGGCTACTACCTGTCCTTTGCGTGAGGCAGGCTTGTCTGTGCCTGCCGGGGGTTGGCTCCCCGACCCCACGGGCAATACAAGCACTCCGCTCTAGGTCATGTGGGCTAGCGATTGGCCCATCTCCGTGGAGGGTCCAGCCCCGGTGCACTGGCCACTGGCAGCATTCACCGACTCGCTGCTCCCAAAGAAGCAGGACACCCCAACTTCCCAGTTCCTGCTCACATCACCACTCGCCAGCACTTAGGTCTACTTCTAGTGAAACAGAGGCTAGGTTTACATGGCCAAGCCCAGAGATGCAAGGAGCAGCAAGTGGCAGTGTGGGAAAGGAAAGGTTACACCTCACAGCAGGCCTTCTCGAGCTCCGCCGAATTAACAGTCCTCTCCTGTCTCCTAGAGCAACGCTCACCCCAAATCCTTGCAGGACTTTACAGCCAGGGTCCAGCTTGGCTCCTAGGTGAAGGACTCAATGCTGTTTCTTTGCTCCCCAAGATATGCCAGCCCCACCCTCTGTCTGTATTCAGAAGCAGGACACCTCCCCTCCCTCCACTAAAAAGAAAAGGAGTACTTGTGGCACCTTAGAGACTAACCAATTTATTTGAGCATAAGCTTAGCACAAATAAATTGGTTAGTCTTTGAGGTGCCACAAGTACTCCTTTCCTTTTTGGGAATACAGACTAACCCAGCTGTTACTCTGAAACCTCCCTCCACTGTTTGTTTCCTGTAGATTTCACAGTTTCTCATTTCCTCACTGGCTCAATATGTAAATAGGTCTCCGATGTGAGGCATACAATACACAATAGCCAAACTGCCAGGCAGGGGAGAGGTGTCTGTTACCTCCTGGTGACCTGCCTTAAGTCCAAGACTTTAAGAACATAATTTTCAGGCCCCTCATGCCCTAAATATTATCCATCCATCCAGTTTGCAATTACTGTAAAGACTAGTGGGCTACTGGCTCTTTGTAGAGACCTCACATGTCACCCCTGGGTGAACTATTGTGCATATATCTGATCCCTGGGAAACCCTATGCAACCCCTGTGCCCTCTGCCTGTTGGCACCAAGGGGTGCCTGGGTCACAGGCTCCATGCTGGCCAGTGGGCGGGCTGGCTGACTCTGGGAATCGGGGACTGATGGAGGGTCATTGAGTGGGTCCCAGGCCAGATCCTTGCGGGACATCACAAGAGCTACTGCCGATCAGCCTCTGCATTGGCAGCTGCAGCAGAGAGGTCTCTGGACAGTGGAGCCGTGATGCTCCTCTTGCCGAGGTCCCTCACTCTCTGTACCCTTCCGCCTCACAGAGTCAGACGACCGGGATCTGAACTGCCTGCTGGCCTCCCTTGTCCAGATCCTGTCAGATCCCCACGCCCGCACCCAGTCTGGGTTCCAGAGCCTGCTGCAGAAGGAGTGGGTGGTGGCAGGGCACCCCTTCCTCCAGCGCCTCAATCTCCTCCGGGACAACGACCGCGAGGAGGTGAGTCTCTGAGCACCCGCGGCTCCGGATAGATGCCTGGCTGTGTTGGCCAGAGGGGGGCATGCTTGAGAGCGATGGGAGTTCTACCAGTCCGGCCCCCGTGGCACCACTGTGTCGAATGTCTCCCAGCACGTGGGCTCTGCCTTTTGGCTCCGAGCACAGCTGGCCGGGAGCGTGGCTTGATGGCCATGCAAAACTGAGAGGGTTTCTTGGACTGACGGTTGCCTTCCCTCCTCCCCCGTGGGCCGGTGGGATGCCAGACTCAGAAAGCAGCTGTGATCCAATCGTTCCCAGCGTCTGCCCTGCTCCCAGCCAGGGCACTTGGGGCCCTGGGCTCTGGATTTCCCTCTGCTGCCAGTCATGTCAGCATCTGTTATGGTGGGGCTGGGATCAGGGGGCTGGGTGAGGGGAGAGGCAAGGTGGGAGCAACTGGCTGTGGGGGCCGCAGTTGGGAAGGTGCGGAGATGGCTGGGTGGGGATCGGCAGTAGCTCCGGAGTCTGAACCAAACCCAAGCAACCCCTCTAGGCTTTGTCCAGCTGGATACTTGCTAGGACGCTTGTCCTTGGCTCAGGATCCACTGCTCTGGTGGGGACCTCTGCTGGGCAGCCTGTGAATGACACTGGTACCGGCCTGTGCTGGATTACAGTGCGGGCAATTAGCCATGGGAGCGGCTGTTCGGAGCCTTTGAATTGGGATTGTTTGGCCTCTTGCTGAAAGACACGCTCTAGCTCCACCGAAAGCTAATGGGCTTGGTGGAGGAGTCGTTGGGCGACGATCTCTGGCCTGTGCCATGTAGAAGTCGGCTGAGATGCTGCAAAGGGGGCAGGGGAGTAATAAGTTAGAGAGGAAAGATGGTCTGGTGCTTCCGTGCTAGCCTGGATATGCTCCGGATTCCTTGGTCCAATTCCCCGCTCTGCCGTTGGCTCCCTCTCTACCACAGTTCGTCATCTGTCCAACGGGATAATGGCCCTGCTCTGCTTCCCGGGGAGCTGGGGGGAATAAATGCACTGGAGATAGGCACCAGAGAAGGAGCACAGATCGTTTGCTCCTGTGTGGGGGCAGGGCCTGAGCTCTGATCCCCAGGGCAGGTTGTTCAAGCTGCCCCGGTCAATCGCAGCATTGCTGCGAGCAGTTTGACGGTATTTCCTTTCTGGGTAAATCTCCACAGCATTGCTGCACGGATGGTCCGCAGCTGCCACTTTCCACCCCAGAGTCAGCTGCTTTTCAGTGGTGGGAGAGCGATTGCTATGCAGTGTTGCTGCAGGTTGTTTCGGGAGCTGTTCTGTTGCGCCCCAGAGTTGGCTGCATTTTTGCTGTGTCCTCAGGGAGTTCTGTGTTTTCCCCCCCCCCAATAGTCTCCGGTGTTTCTGCTTTTCCTGGACTGCGTGTGGCAGCTGCTCCAGCAGTTCCCAGCATCCTTTGAGTTCACAGAGACATACCTGGTGGCCCTCCACGACAGCAGCTACATACCCTTCTTCAGCACCTTCTTGTTTAACTGCCAGTGGGAGAGAGATCGCAGAAATCAGGTGGGTCCAGCATGGAGCCTCCCAGCTACAGTGAAACACTTGGCTGCTCTGCGGTCATTGCCCCAGGCGCTATCCTACCGTGGGCGGAGAAGGGGGAAATCCGGTGCTGGGGTTAATGCAAGGCCTGGGAGTGAGGACTCCTGGGTTCTCTTCTCAGCTGGGAGAGTGAGGCATGGCCTAGAACAGGCAGCTGGAGAACAGGACTCCTGGGTTTTATTCCCAGCTCCTAACAGAGCAGGAGACTGGGAGACCAGACTCCTGGGTTCTTCTATTCCTGGCTCACTGCCTGACCTAAGGCGAGTCAACTTGCTTCTTTGTGCCTCAGTTTCCCCATCCATAGAACAGGGTGGGGCTCATGATTCTCTTCCACCTCTGTGACGCTCTGAGATCCTCAGTGCATAACGTTCCCCTTAAAGGGCCCGCTCCTGGCCCAGCCTCAGTGGGGTACGGAGTGCAGCCTCTCTCAGGGCCAGGGGGGCAAAGGGATAGGGATGTGCATTCGCTGTTCCTCGCGGAGACACCTCTCGCACTCTCTCTTCATCTCCCAGCACCGTGCCTCCAACCAGATCTACGCGCCCGTCAACGGCTGGCGGGAACCCCTTCCCCTGGAGATCCTGCAGAAGGGTGGCCGCCTGGTGAAGGAGACGGGGGGCCCCTACTTGCCCACCATCTGGGACTGGGCGCTGCGCTACACCGCCCAGCAGAGGGCACAGTTCAGAAATCCCGCCTATGCCAGGGGCAGCAGCAGCGTTCCAAATGGCAACTCTGCCCCACTAGGGGGCGACAAGGTGAGTGCGCTGGGCTCCAAACCCTGGGTGGGGTAGTAGGAGCGATTTGGGGGCAGGGAGTGTGTTGTCTGGCAGTCATGCCATGGGGCTGTAGGGGTCAGGGCAGCTGGGTTTTCTTGATGGCTGCGAGGCCTTTCTGAGCCTCAGTTTACTTTTTCTGTGTCACTAGTGGAGCTGGCAATAGAACCCAGGAGTCCTGATGCCCAGTCCTCCCCTCTAACCCCTAGTCCACACTCTCTCCTAGGCAGGGTTCAGTAAAGTATCCTGCTCCCGGCTGAAGCACCAAAACCTGGGGGGGAGGGAGAAAACGTGCTGAGTGTTACTGTCCTGGATTTCCGTCCCCCCCATCCCTCCCTCTCTCTCTCTCTCTCTCCAGCTGGAAGCTGCCTTGTCTGGGAATGGGGCCGTGTACCTGTTTGTCAAGGGGGGCCTCTCACCGCAGACCCACCTCTTCCCCTGGAAGAATGGCTCGCTTTCCAGAAAGGGCTGGCGGTGGGCTCAGTCCTTGGAGAGCCTCAGCGAACAGGACCGGTCCTTGAGGAGCAAACCCAGCGGCTGCCCCCTGCAGCCTGAGGGGCTGCTACTTCCTGCCTCTGTGGGCCCCCTGATCCAGCTCTGGAGAAGGTGTTACCTGCGGGGGAGCCAGGAAGTTCAGGTAACGCCAGCACCAGGGACATTAGCAGACAGAGTGGCTTTGGGGTTAAGGCTCTGAGCTGGGACCTAGGAGCCACTTCCCTGTTCTACCGCAGATGCCTTGTGCCTCCTGTTGCTATTGGGTGGAGCAGCATAGCCTAGCAGATAGAGCACTGGCCTGGGAGTCAGGAGACCTGGGTTCTGTTCCTGGCTCCGCCACTGACTCTATAGGTCACCTTGGGCAAGTCATCTAGTTTTTGTGCCTCCGTTCCTCTGTATAAAATGGGAATAATCCTGCCCTGCTTCCCAGGGGGTTGTGAGGATAAATCCATTAGTGGTTCCATGGGGTCAGAATCTATAGTGAAGGGTGCCAGATGAAACCTGTAGATTAGTAGCAAATTACCTCTGTCGAATCTGGGTGCGGGGATGGACTGAGGATGGTAATGAAGATACTCTGTGTATCCTCTGTAGGAAGTCCAGTATTAATACCCTCTTGTGCAGAGGGGTAAACTGAGGCAAAGTGAAGGTGGCACGGCGAGTCAGTTACAAGAGAACCCAGGAGTCCTGATTCCCATATTCATTTTTGTTACAGTAGCGCTTCGAGAGCGGAGCCCCATTGTTTTAGGCGCTGTACAAACAGATAATAGAGAGGGTCCCTGCCGAACAGAGCTGGGCCCAGGCTTTTAAATCCAGGGAGGCTGCAGCTGACCTGGCTGCAGTTTCCCTGCAAAGAGCCCTGCATGGGAAACATCTGGAAAGAGAGACCCATACATATGATGCCCTGTCACTTTCGGCTTCCTTAAAAGGATTGTGATTAGAAACAGAGTTCCCCGGTTGAGCCTCCAGAGGCCCTGCTACACGCTGAGGTGCTCCCTTTCCCTGCCCAGCCTGCCTGAGGGCATCGAAACATTTCCTGGACATCGGAGTTAGAGGAAGAACGTAGCACGGCTCTCTGGGGGGCAGATGAACATGGCTCTGGTTTGGCCACTGGCATGGCTTAGATCTTGCTAATGATCTCAATCCACCTGAGACAGAGGCCTCAAAATCCCCGGCAGCTGCCAGGCCTGGCTGCTCTGGTGATTTGTGTTTTTTAAAAAAATATATATATTTTTTAGTCTGTATGGGAAAGGCCCAGGGCTCGAACAGCTGGAGGGGCATTGGCTGAGCTGAGTGTATGGGGGGGACTGCAGGCCTGGGATAGCAGGGTCTGTTGCAGGTCAGGATAGGAGGGTATTGGTGGATCTGCACCGGGCACCCAGACTGCGACAGGACGGAGGGCCATGAGCAGAGGCGCGTTACCTGCCCAGGTTGTTCCAGCTGGGGCTGACTCAGCCATTGTGTCCCCCAAGCCCTTGCGCTATATCTGAGTCTAGCTGGGGTGCTGAGTCTCTCACTTGCCTGGTCGCCAGCCCCAGGGAGTGCAGCTTGGGAGCACCCACAAAGCTAGGCACAGTGTAGACTCAGCCATCCCTGAACCGCCCTTACTGTCTGTCTCTGACTCTCCCCATCAGCGCGGCCTCTTTGCCTCCACGCTCGCTGAACTTGCGGAGGAGCTGGACCTGCTTCGAGAGCGGCTGGGCGACTGACAAGCGAGAGGACCCACTTAGGTGACTCGCCATGGCAGCAGAGAGCCCCAGCCGGGGGCACGCGGAGCCCCTTCTCGCCATCCCCCTGAAGGCGAAACGCCGTGAAGACTGGACGGCATCGCGTCCCTGCTGCCATGCTGGAGACAGGAGAGTGCCCTGGGCAGAACTGGATCTGTCTTCTGGGCCAGTGGACAAACGGGGAGACTTGGAGTTGTAGGAACGGCTTCAACAGAATTTGGGCACTGCTGTCCCTCCTGACGCTGGGAGCTGCCTGTCCTTCTGTGGCTGCCGGAAAGGGAACCGGGTAACCCTGTTCATCTAAAGGGCTTGCTCCCACCCCCGCAGCTCAGGGTGATAGGTGCCCAGATAACCCTGGCTCCTCCCAAGTGCTACCTCCTCAAAATCAGGCCCGATCCCAGGGCTCCCACCTGGCCCTGAGTCGTCTGGCGAAACCCCACCCAGTCACGCTGGGCATTTGCCCGGGATTCGGATGGTGGGATCTTGGTGGGAACCAAACACCTCCACTGTTTTCCAGCGCCACTTGGCAAAACCTACAGCATCGGATTCTGTTAACGCAGGGTTCAGGGCAGGCTCCAGTGTACTGGGTCCAACTGCTTTGCTGCTGCTCGAGCTGAGTTGCGTCTCTCTCCGTTGTCTGATATTTCATGCCCCTTTACTTTCCTTGCTCCCACAGGGAGGCTTACTCAGCTGATGAGACTGGCTCATTCACGCTCCTCCAACTGGGTATTGATGCTGTAACATACCTCCCCCAGAGGGGCGGCACGTGGGTGGGAGGGTAGGAGAGGTATGTTACCCTGCCTCTGCCCATGCTGTACCCATCCTCTGGATTATCGCTGGCCTCCAGTCTCCAGCACTGCCAGTCTGGTACGCAGCCCTGAGTTGCAGCTCGACGAAGCTCTTAACCCCCCTGCCTGGATTTCCCAAGCGAACCTTTCAAACGAGGCTTTTGAAGCGGATGGAGAGGGGAAAAGGGATTGAATCTTTCAGAAGCGGGGGGTGGGGAGGAGCAGGAGAACCCCATCCTCAGTAGATCACAGGGAGCCCGCACGAGCTCCCGTCTCCGGGCAGGGCTACGCTCCAAACTCGCATCGGCGGCCCGCTGTAGCGCTTCTGGTGAAGATGTTCTTAGCCGACAGGAGAGAGCTGTCCCGGCAGCCACGGGGCGGGTTAAGGTCGGTCTCACGACGTTGCTCAGGGGTGTAAAAAATCCCCCCCCCCCCGAGCGACGTAGTTAGAGCGGCGTGCGTAGTGTAGACCCGGCCTCTGGTCCGAAAGGGACTGTCCCCCAAAGCTGCCTTGCGGAGCCCGTGAGTCGGATGCACTTGGAGCTGCCGTGCTAGCAACGTGCTGGGGCGGGTCTTTGAGGGGGTGGGCATGTCCCAGTGACAGGTACTTCCTGTGCTACCTCCCAAACTTGCTTTCTAAGCCTCGGAGTTCAGGTCTCGAGTGGAGAGTCCCCAGAGGGTGGGAATGTCCGGATCCGGAGTGTTGGGACTCTGTGGGCTGAACAATGTACCCAGCTGTGTCTCTGCCAATCGTCTGGGCAGCATGTAAGCTGCAGTTGCGCTGGCAGGGGCAGCTGGTAACTGCCCTCTCTTGGTTTTGTGTGTGTGTGTCTGTCCCAAGTGGGGTCCCGGGAGCCTCGGTCCTTCGTTACCACCCTCGAACAATGGCAATTCCGTGCTCAGTAGTTTCTCCTACAGCGCGTTTCCAGCACAAGCTTAGGGGAGGACGGCACAGGGGTGGGAGTCTTTCCTAGAGGCCATCATGGCAGACCTAGGTCAGGTTACCACCTGATGTCTCTGAGGAGGGGATTGGTGGGTCGCAGCCAAGTCCCCATTAAACGAGCATCCGTGTCCCCCCAACTTCCATCATCTTTCCTGCTCTGCGGCTCCCACCTTGATACATGCAGTGGAGCGTGAATGGGCCTTGTTCTCACCTTTCCCAGTGTTCCTTATAACCCAGGGCTGAGGCTCCATGTATGGGGGTGGGCGGGGGCAGTTTACTTGGACTGTACCCGGCCTGGAGGTCTTCAGTTTCCAGGGTGATCCCACTGGAATCTGTCTTGAGCTTGACAGGGAAGTAACCATCCATCCCAGTCATGGGCTGCTTCTGGCCTTAAGCCAGAGATGATGTTGCTTTTGTATGTTAAATCCTAATTGAAAAGTGAATGCTCCGGATCATGGGCCATGCATTTCAGGGAACCGCACTTGCTATCTGAGCTCCAGCTTTTCAGAGGCCTGAATCGCAACCCTGTCACCCACCACTCCTTCCACTTTTTAGCCAGCCTTCTTGGGCTGAGACTTTCATCTCCGAGGGGGAAGCAGGATGTGGAACCCAATCTTCTCCCTCCTCACTCTGCAGAAGTTGCATCCAGTTAGTCCATTTCACCAGCCATGCTTGGGCATTAGAATCAACAGGCGTCTTTCCATTGGCCCCAATGGACATTGGATTCAGGCCCTTGTGAGGGAGATGGAGGAAACCCTTTGATGGGAGACTTGCTGCGTCTTTCAGGTACCTACAGATGCATGACTGCCATACCCATATGGCAACATGCTGCTTATTGTCAGTGTTTATGGACACTGGGGTTTGCACAGTTCCTGTATCTACTTCTTTTCCTCCCTGAGATTTGAGTGCCTACTTTGTATATCTGTCTAACACCAATGAGGAATAACAAAGATTATTTTTATTGGCATTTGTAATATAATCTCTCAGGATGATATTAGATGTTTGTTTTTTTGTTACAAAATTTATATTTTATATTAAAAAAAAAGCTCTGGTTATAACATTAGTAACCCAGAGGAAATGGGTTATTGTATAAGCTAAAGTATTAGACAAAACTGGACGATACATTTTTGTGTGTGTGTGTGTGTTTCTTTCACACCCCCACACAGCGGCATTGGAAGCCGCCAAATTCCAGGGTGGATTAGAACAGTCTGGGGGGTAGGGCTACCCTGCAGTCCAAGGAAGCATTGCAGCCTGGGTAGACATGCTGGCATGGCTAAGAGTAGCCGTGTAGATGTGATGGCACTGGTTTCGGTGGGGGCTTTACGGGGGACCCTGGGTAAGTATGGGTGGTGGCGCAGGCTAGCAATGCATCTGCTTGGCAATTTTGAGCCATGTTAGTGCAGATAACGCTAGCGTGGGTAGACATACCTGCACAGTAATCACACCTAGGATTGCAGGATAGACCGACCCATGCTGCCGGTGTCACAGCAGAGGGTCGAGTCCAGCTGTGATCTTAGCTTAGGAAATTGGTACTGTTCTCTGCGGAAGTGTGGAATTGTTGGTGTAAGAGTCCTAGAGCTTTAGGGCTGGGAGAAGAACCAGGACTGTCGGCGGATGAGTATGAACAAAGTACTTCCTCCAGAACAGCCTCATTTCTTTTTACGTGCAAGGGTTCAAGACCGCGAGGGCCTGGACTTCCCTTGGAAGACTCCTTTGTGATTCCTTTTCCTGCTGGTTACTACTTGTGGTGGTGGTGTGGTGTTTTTTTTTTTTTTTTTTTTTTTTTTGTTTTTTTTTTTTAAATCCTTTGTGCTAATAGCACATAGAAGTATTTTGGAGACCAGAATATTAGGGTAACTGTGCAGATCACACATTCCCTGTGACATGAGGCATGAGTTAAGTGGAAATCCAAATAAGGGCATTTTTTTTCCATTCTGTATATTTTTGTAGTGACATTTCTATTTAAGAACTCATTAAAGTGCAGTATTTTTAAATGCAGAGTGGCTGACTGTGAGTTGAATGGTATGCTCTAGTTAAACTAACAGTTGGCAGGGGGCTAGATGCTGGAATCATGGGGTGACATTCTCTAGCCTGTGTTCTGCAGGAGGCCAGACTAGATTATCCTAACGGGTCCTTGTGCTTTTAAAATGTATGAACCTAGGAGTTTTCTTCTCCTATAAAAGCTAGTGCTTATATGATGTTTCGTAGCAGTGGATCTCAAAGCATTTTACAAAGGTGGTCAGTACCACTATCCCTATTTTACAGATGGGGGAACACTGAGGCACAGTGGGGCAGTGACTTGCTTAAGGTCACATAACAAGCTCATGGGAGAACCAGGAATAGAACCCAGGTTTCGTGAGTCCATGTTCAGGGCTCTCTCTCACTTGGCTGTAAACCGGGAGCAGGATCATTCAGGTGCCAGGATGCTGACCTGTGAGGCAGGAGAGCTAGGGCCTATTTGTACCTCTGCCAATGACTTTGTGTAAGATACTTCACTTCCCCCATATGTAGGTTTCCCATTAGTGCTTTGCAAAGAGCACGAAGATCCTTCCCCTACGAGGCTGGACACCCTAGAGGACTAAGGACTTGCTCCATAATGAAGGTGCAGAAAGGGCAGTGAGGGCCCCCGTTAGGTTCAGCAGGACAATAAAGCATCATGGCGTAGCTGACTGCCCGCTGCTTGTCCCCCTAATATCAGAGCTTCTGGCATCAATTATGGGGGCCTGGGTGTCTTTCTCCCTGACCCCGGTCAGAGGGGGATGAAACCCCCTCGTGTTGGGTTTTTAATTTTTCTCTCGTCTCTCCGGTTGGGGAACAGGGGTCCTCAGAGGCCCAAACAACTGTCCTCGTCTCTCTTCCCCCCCCCCCCAGCACCACTGACCATAGACTGAGCAACCCTGTGCCTCCAAGGGGAACAGGGACCCCCGTCAAGCAGCCGCTCATCCCCCACCCAGCAATGGGGGTGCCCTGCAGGGAGGGGGCATCCACTGCACTGGGTACAGGAGCCTGTGGATTTGCTAGGGGGAGTTTATGTCATGATATGTCACCACAAAGGTGTGAGATCAAAGGGGAACAAGCTCTGAACCCCTGGGGGCCCAGAGAGGGGATGAATTACACATGGGGGGAAATAGGGCCTAAGATAGTCACTTCCGCCCATAGGCAACATGGCTACGCGTGCGTCTAAGTCGACTTCCGCCCTTAGCCGCCATAGCTCCTTCCGTGCACGGCCACTTCCGGCCTCACCCAAGATGGCCGCTGCCTGCACCGCCCCTTTTCAGCCGCGGTGGCCGGAAGTGGGGGTGTGTGAAAGGGCGGAAGTCGGAGGTCGCCCGCCTGGCCGAGGGGAGGCGGGAGCGCGTTCGAGATGGCGGCGGGGCCCATCTCCGAGAGGAACCAGGGTAAATGGCGGCGGCTTCGAACCCTCTTGTCCCCGCTCACGAGGGGCTGGGGCCCGATCCCCCTGTAGCCGGGGGGGCGGGGCTGGGTCCTAGCTTGGGGGACCTGAGCCTCCCCCCAAAAGCTGAGGGGGGGGCTGGGTCCCAGCTTGGGGGTCCTGAGCCTCCCCCCAAAAGCTGAGGGGGGCGGGGCTGGGTCCCAGCTTGGGGGTCCTGAGCCTCCTCCCAAAAGCTGAGGGGGGGGCTGGGTCCCAGCTTGGGGGTCCTGAGCCTCCCCCCAAAAGCTGAGGGGGGGGGGCTGGGTCCCAGCTTGGGGGTCCTGAGTCTCTCCCCCAAAAGCTGAGGGGGGGGCTGGGTCCCAGCTTGGGGGTCCTGAGTCTCCCCCCAAAAGCTGGGGGGGGGGCCGGGCTGGGTCCCAGCTTGGGGGCCCCCGAGCCTCCCCCCCCAAAAAGATGGTGGTGGGAGTTGCAGTAGGGGCCTAGATTGGGGGGCCCGAGCCTCCCCCCAAAAGCTGGGACGGGGGGGCTAGATTCAGTCTCCTTGCTGTGCATCTGATTTCAGTCAATTCATTTTGGGCGTCTGGGGGGAGCTGTGGGACCCATAAAGGGAAGGCTGTCAGGGTGCAGGACTGGCACTCAGGACTCCTGGGTTCTGTTCCTGGCTCTGTTACTGGCGCACACTGCAGCCCTGGGCAAATTGTTTCCCCTCTTTCTGCCTCAGTTTCCTCCATACAATAGGTGTCATAACAGCGATTCTCTATCGGGAGCTCGTGAGGGTTAGTCTAAGAAGAGGTGCGCAGTGCTTTGTGTGGAAAGCCCTTCGGCGGCACAGAGGCCTCATATCGCCAGGGACTGCTCTGGTGTTTGGTATAGACAGTGGCAGACTTGGTTGGAAATGCAATAAAATAACAGATTTCCTAGTTCAAAATAGGAACCAGCATTCAGCGGGGTAACTGACGTTCATGTTTCAGGGCTTGGGCTGCGGACGGCAGTGGTCAGCCAGGGGTTCTACACCAGTTTGATCTGAAGTATCCACTTTGTGTTGCCTTGGCAATGAGTGGGGGACAACTGACTGCGACATCATCAGATATGGTGTGAGGGTGACACGGTACAAATGTGTGGTTTAAGGGGAGTCACTTCCTTGTAGTACAAGGGGAGGCAGCGCGGCCTGGTGGCTAGAGCCCTGGGCTGGCCCTCGGAACACCTGGGGTTATTCTTGGCTCTGTTGGTTGACCTTGGGCTTGGCTTCTCAGTGACTCAGTTTCCCCGTCTGTATAATGTAAAGCACTGTGAAAGCTACTGAAGGAAAGTGCTAGATAAGAGTTAGGGATTATCACCTCTTTGGAGCATGTCTTCACTGTAAACAATGTTCTTAATCATTTAACGTTGGTTTATTAGATGTCAATGTACTTACTCCAGAGACGTATGTTTCATTAAGGGTCCAGTCTTGAGCTGTTTAAGTCGAGGAAAGTTTTGCTTTTGACTTCATGGACTCGAGCTCAAACCCATGGGGATCCAGAGCTGATCTGTTTGAGGGAGAGTTCTTAACTCATCTGAAATGTTCAAGAGATTGCTCTTCAGATCTACGTAACCAATCACCATCTCCTCTCCCCCCTCAAGATGCTACAGTTTATGTTGGTGGCCTGGATGAGAAGGTCAGCGAGCCGCTGTTATGGGAGCTCTTTCTGCAGGCAGGACCAGTGGTCAATACCCACATGCCCAAAGATCGAGTCACTGGTCAACATCAAGGTGAGATATTGACCGGTCCCTTCAAAGACATGTCTCTGAACGAGTGCCCTGTGGATATGTTATTTTGCCGGCAGACATATGTATTTTCTGCCTGTATGGAAAGGGTTAAAAATCCCATTTCTAGTCATTTTACATGTCACTTGTAGCAATAGTCTGTGTAAAATGTTCAGACAGAACTGAGACAATTAGCTGTGTTGTGGCAGCGTGGAGGAGCCCCAGTTGTGGATCAGAACACCATGGTGCCAGGTCTGTACAAACACTGACCAGACAGGCCCTTCCCCATAGGTTTTATAATTGAAGTAATTCTCCTGGGTTTCAGTTTACTTTGTGTGTATGTTGCCATTTGTTCTAAGATGAAATACCTACCACATCTCATTCTGTACATTGTCTCACCCCACTTGTTACTTTAAAGAGTAAAAGCTTGTCTCTGCACCAAGATGCACCGTTACTTTTAAAACCAATTGAGACTTAGGCCTTGTCCACACAAGGCCGGGCCGGGCCCGGGCAGCTATACTGGCAAACGTTCCCAAGGGGGAGACAGTGTACACCAGTAAAAGAGTTCTATAGCTTATACTGACTGGTTTCAGAGTAGCAGCCGTGTTCGTCCGTATTCACAAAAAGAACAGGAGGACTTGTGACACCTTAGAGACTAACCGGTTTATTTGAGCATAAGCTTTCGTGAGCTATAGCACTGAATGCATCCGATGAAGTGAGCTGTAGCTCACGAAAGCTTATGCTCAGATAAATTGGTTAGTCTCTAAGGTGCCACAAGTACTCCTTTTCTTATAGCTTATACTGTATAAGCTGTAGCAGCAAAAGGACTGACTTGTTGGTATAACTGCATTTACACGTGGGCCTCTGTTGACACAGCCATGCCATTTAGGGGTGTGATTATTTCACACTCCTAACCAACATAGCAATGCTGGAAAACTTCTGAAGTGTAGGTCAGATCTTAGTGAAACTGGTACAGATTCCTCTTTGGATACTCATAGCTGTTTAAATCTAGGTTAGCTTGCAGCTGTGAATTACAGGTGCAAGCTAAATTGATAAGCCAGGTTCAACTTGATGAGCGTGTCCACATACAAAGCTGCACCAATTTAAATAAATCAGGTTTGAAATCGCACCTTTAGACTGGTCTAATTTTGTGTCTAGACCAGCTTTAGAAGCAGAGTGGGAGAGAAATCAATAGCTGCAGATGAGGGAGGAAGACAGTTTGAAATGAGATGGAGTGGAGAAGGTGGAGACATAGAATGAGGTGGTTCTGGATGCTAGATGATGCAGTGAGAGTTCTCCTATCTGTAGGGGGGCAGTTAGCCTCCTCAGTTATTCCAGCCAGTTCTGGATAAGCAAGGAGGAGAGAGATTATTTCAGGAGAGCTGCAGAGGAGAATATTATTGCATCAACAGTGGAGAAATGATGGAGCCTTGAGATCAACCAGGGGGATGGTGTGGGTGACATAGAGAGATTATGGAGTGTATCTGGCTATAAAGGGCTCTGCTGGGGTACGTGTTGCAGGTTATGGGTTCGTGGAATTCCTCAGCGAGGAAGATGCTGACTACGCCATTAAAATCATGAACATGATCAAGCTGTATGGGAAGCCGATCCGCGTGAACAAGGCCTCGGCCCACAACAAGAACCTGGACGTGGGCGCCAACATCTTCATCGGCAACCTGGACCCGGAGATCGACGAGAAACTGCTGTACGACACCTTCAGCGCCTTTGGGGTCATCCTGCAGACCCCCAAGATCATGCGGGACCCTGACACGGGGAACTCCAAGGGCTACGCCTTCATCAACTTCGCCAGCTTCGACGCCTCCGACGCCGCCATTGAGGCCATGAACGGACAGTACCTGTG